GAAGAAGCAGGATAAATACCATAAAAAATGTTGTATAATGATGATGAAATATACTTTTATGAATTAACAAATGTATTTATTTGAGATTTAGGATGAACGCGAATGTGTTGATTATTATTACGAGTAGTTTACTTAATTACTACAAATTATAATTACAGTAAGACAAGCAGAACATAGACATCCCCTTACAGAAGCTCACTGAGGGGTTGAGAAAATGTTACTCAATGATGTTAAATGTGGAAAAAATAATCAACAACATCAGAGAACTTGTTCCTTAATCTTCATAATGCCTCGGTTGTTTATTTGTTCTTCAGTTCATGCCTGAAGATACCTGACTTTTTATTCCATTTCTTAAGTGACATTTCGAGAATATCAATAATTAGTCGTGTGTTGGAACTTAAAGTGCAACATCACATTTAAAAGGCTGGCAACCATCTGGGGTTTGAGGTTTGACGAAATAAATTATTGCCAACCTCCGTCTGTCTTTCCAGATGTCTGTCTGCCCTTTCATTTTCTCATAGTGTCTTCCTCTGTGTTTAACTCTAAATATAATAACTTAATAACTTAAATAGCTGCAGGGATGCACACATCAGACAGCAATAATTGATAGGGAAAAGCTTAATTTGTTGTCATGGTCAGGGTTTTCAGATAATGGATTAAAAAATTAAATTACAAGTGACATGTTCAGCATTTTCTTGCAGTTGAAATTGATACAAATAATCTAATATAGAATCTGCAGCGTACATACTGTCACTACAAAACTGCTTATTATTGTGTGGGGGGGGATCTATCAAATATAAATGCAGATTTTCACTGATAAACAGGAAACAGACACAAACAAGTGGCCATAGATTGGAATGAAAGATACATCGTAGGTTATAAGATGCAGTTGCCTCAATCACAAACAGCTCAAACGCACCATAATCACATTCATCAACATAGACAACTCTCCCACAATCACACTTTTATTCAAATTCCTTTAGTTCCATCCTGAGAGCCAGCATATGGCAGAATTTCAGATAAAGATAACGCCTCCAAAGACACACACACACACACAGGATAAATGCACAGAATGCAACACAAAGAGATAGATCAGTGGGTAAGGGAAATGTATGAGCACTAAACAAGAACAAAATGCTGTCACACACATACAATTTTAACACTGCTAGAAACAATTGTGATCTTTATCGCAGAGCGGGAAATGTGACAGATGTGTTCACGGGAGAGGGAGTGATTGAGAGAGAAAATCAGAGGGACAAGCACTAAGAAAAGCAGCGAGGAGACGTGCACACAGAGAAGCTATTGATAAACAGAGGGACAGCAACGCTCCCACCAAACGAGGAGAATGTTAACACTTTCTCCCATATCCGTCTGTAACGTTAGGAACCTCCATGGTCACTAAATGCTCACCAACACAGACCTGCTGACACACAGCATCAATCCCCTGTCAGACCGTCAGCATCTCCACGGAGACAACTGCTCCTCTGTGTGTGGTGAATCCACAAAATCACATTACACAATGAGCGTGGGATTTCCTCTCTAAATTCCCTCCAGCAGAAATATCCACTCCATCTCTCTCTGTCACACAGGTTATTAATTTTATAGCCATGATTTGCCTGATACCAAACAACATGTTTAATTGTTTCTGTTTCAGATGTGATTGCCCTCATTGCAGTCCTCACTTGAAGAAGCTGCAGGAAGTCTGTGTAAGTGATCTGTGATTGATTGTTAAGTTGGTTTATTCATTTTAATATCTGCACAGCAAGCAGGCCCAAAATGAGGATGCCTTCACTGTTCACCAGGTGTAATACTGTGCCCAAGTTGAGCACTGCACTCTTTCTCTCACGTGCGCACACACACACACACACACGCAATAGCTATCTCATTCTCTCTACTGCACGCACGCACAAAAGGACACACGCACGTCATCCCAAGAGAGGCGAGAGCGAGCACACACGCATAGATGTAACTCTTTCTCTCTCTTGCAAACACACTCTCAGACACACTAACGCTGTCCGCAACAACGACACGGCACGAATCAAAAACCAGTGTGTTCCTCTCCCGCAAACAAACCAACCTGCTAATATTTAGATCGCGTCCAACACGCGCGCACACACACACATAATATGTACGCAAGCCAGCGAATGGGCACGCACGCACCCACACACACACACACACACACACACACACACACACACACAGACACATCGAAAGCCTCCGAAACTCACCCTTGGACGAGGAGAGATCCCCGAAGAGGAGCCCCAGCATGAGGAGAAGCGGGAGGTCGCGTCTCAGCCTGCCGCTCTTCTTCACATTCAGCCCCCTCCTCATCAGAAGCAGGTCCGTTGCTCCCAAATCCGTCATTTTGCTGTTAAATAAATCCAAGCTGGCTTAATTGTAAAGCCTTCTCCCCACCTTGCCGCTCTGCTTGGCTGAAGGAAGCGGAGGGGGGTAAAAGAGGACGGCCGCCCCCCCTCCTCCTTTTTCTTTCGTTTTTACAAAAAAGAATATTTACACCCGAAGATCAATCACGAATAAACCACACACACATGTCCATGTTAACGTTTGGACAGGATAACCGGTGACAGGTTGTCGGTTGTCTGAGATCGGGCAACACGCTGCTGGTGTGAGCTGTCATAGCAGAGAGCGGAGCACCGGAGGAGAGAGGCAGAGACAGGCAGAGAGAGACAGAGATTCAGGGGGGGAGAGCGGAGAGGTGGCTGGTGTAGGTCCGCACAGCACGGCGAGCGAGCGACGACTGAGAGGGGAGAGAGAGAGAGAGAGAGCATGAGGAGGAGAGAGGCAGACGCAAGGAGAGAGGGAGGCAAGTCAGGGAAGTAGAGAAGAGGGAGGGAAAAGTCCGGGATAGAGGGGGCCGAGAGAAAAAGGGAGAAAGGTATCTGGAAGAAGTAAAAACAGACTAACTGAAGAGGGAGGAAAGAGTGATAGAAGAGGATGGGAAAGGAGCTAGTGAAAGAGTAGAGGAATGACAAGAGGAAGGGGAAATGGGTAAAGAAGAAAGGAGGAAGGAAACAGACTTGATGGAGGACGGAGAGAAGGACAGATATGTCGGGAAAGGGTATGGGAGTAAGGAAGAACATAGGGAGAAGAAAGAGGGAGGAAACGGGAAAGTGAGAGAAAAGAAGGAGGAGAAGGGGGGATTGTAATGGAGGACACAAGAGTTAACGAAAGACAAGAGGAAGGATGAACAAGTGAGGAAAAGAGGAGGGAGGGAACAGACTTCCAAGAGATAGATGAATNACTGTCTTTTCATGGGCTGATTCTGTGAGAACAGCACCATCTACAGGCCTGGCATATGTACTACAGCGTCTCCAGCGCTTGCGAACGGCAATGTCCCTGCCAGGGACATTGCCGTTCGCAAGCGCTGGAGACGCTGTAGTACATATGCCAGGCCTGTAGATGGTGCTGTTCTCACAGAATCAGCCCATGAAAAGACAGTGTTAAATTGAGCGAAATGAGGAATGGCTGAAATGCATGATCTGTTTGGTATTTTCAAAAATAAAAAGTATAAATATGCCTTATATAGGTATGGTCCTATATGCTAAATATAGCATGATAGGTCCACTNGGGGGAGCGGGGTTACCTTGGTTGTTGATTGGCTAATGATTACACAAGCCAAAAAATCGTTATGACATCATAAAGTGGCCAAAATCTGATCAGCTCATTTTCAGACCGGTTTTTATATAAATTGATCAGGATACAAAGAGAGAGAATCACTTCACACAGAGGGGACACATGTTGATGTATAAAATACAGGAAAAAGTGGATTTTGCACAATAGGTGACCTTTAATGTATTTGTGTTTTCCATTGTAGTTTCTGTATACATTTGTATGTAGGGACCATCCTAATCAAGGTTAATAGCAATAGACTATATTTTTCATTAATGCAACATTGCTGTTTTTGATAAAGAAGATTCCTCACCTTTAGCTTTGCTGTAATTTCTTATCATTCTTAATTTATGATGCTGTATATCAGAGCAGTCATGTTTTAAATATATCCTGTCTGCTGAGGTCAGAGTTGAGAGCCATCACCAGGAGACATGACAGGTATGTGTCCATATGGCACATGTGTCTGCAAGTGCCTCACTGTTAATTCTTTATGAGCATACATCAATATGAATATTGTATATGAACACATACCAGAAGTGACATGAGTCAGATAGTCTGCTTCCTGTAAGGCTCGCAGAAAAAAAAACGTTGACTCTGGTCTTGTCATCCACAGCTTATTTATTTCTTCCACTCCACCGAGATATTACAACATGACAGGAGTCAAAGACCTCTGGCCGGCTGCACTATTACTCAGAGTGCAACTGTCAATGTTCATATCCAGTATTTTCTCTTCCTCTCATTCCTTTCTCTTTAATCTTCTGAGCAGCAATGATCTAATTGAGATTGACCTCTGTTACCACCACCTTCACATGTTGCTTCTCCATGAAGATTAGTGTGCAGTACATCCAAACACCATTTACATGAGAACACACGCACCGCTAGATATGATATCTCTCGGGGCCTAGCTGTAAAATCACTGCATCCATATCACCAACGTCACAATCAAGAAATGACTACCAGTGCTTGATTAAAAACAATTACACACCCACTAGGTTTATACAGTGTTTGTACCTAGGCCGACTTTGATTTTGTCTTATCTGCTTAGCATTTTGGGCAGAGAGAGAGCTGGTGAGTTTTTCAACATATCAATCTCCTTTGTTCATTTTTCTCACTGATGGCAGCAGAGATATTTGGCTTCCTGTTTTGGTTTTGTTGCAGGCTGTAACAATAAGCGTCCTCCTTTGTAATTGATTTGTCTGGGGAGAATAGAATAATGATTGTGCATGCACAGTCCTTTCTACAAATAAGTGCTAACCAGTCAAATGTATTGTGGCTCACTAAGGTAATGTATTACCTAATTAATGATTTACCTAAACATTTTCCAATGCAGTCTATCTTTGTGCGTACTGGCAGTGTTTTGCTCTAATGACTCACAGCCACTGCAGAGAAATACAGAACAAGAAGGATATAAACAATGTTATACATTTATTAATTTTTCTGTGTGTGATTGACATTCTGCATAACTTACCTCACAGCTGTCAATCCTGGATTTTTTATACCCAGTGAACACCAGCGAACCAGCCAAAAGGATAGCTTCACCCTTCTACATCCTGCTTATCTTTATGATTGCACACAATACAAACCAGTTATATCTTTCATTTTGATAAACTGAAAGGTTCAGTATGCTTGTATTTTACTATGTTGCACATGATGTCAACCAAACTCTTCTGAATGAAAGTTAAGATGAGATCAGATGTTCTCGGTTTGCAAAGAAGCAAACCAGCAGAGGAGATGTAGCTGGCCGTGGCCCTGTGTGTTCTGTATCGAGGAGCAGTGTATCTCCTGTCAGAGGCCAGGGTCTTAAAGCAGGTCGTGAGTTGAGTCGATCTTACTTTCTTCTTCCCCCATCCTCCGCTCATAGAGCTGCTGGAGGATTGAGCACTGCTCCTCCTTTGGCTTCCAGGGTGATCCCCCTCCACAGTTACACTCTGAAAGCTTGCCGTATAGAACCAGAAAGGAAAAGGTGAGGAGGGTCTCTATATGGAAGACGTAAAAGTTGCAGAGGATGAAAGGGGCTACATCCAGGAGCCTCTAATGAAGTAAAGTAAATTCTAATGCCAGCCTCTTTTGATCGTTTTTTATTTTGTTGTTGAAGAAAAATACATAGTGGAAAATGCATTTCGCCAGGAGCCTATCCTAAAGTATAGTTCTGATAAAGGAAAAGTTGTGACTTCCGTCTCAACTCACATTTTCCTCAAAGTTTAAACATGTTCTGTGGTTGTATAGCTCCTCCAATGACCTCGCTCTTACAGCTACATATTTTCCACCCAGGATGCTATATGTGGCTGTGGTGTGATAGTTATGCTGCTGACATGTTCTGTCATGGTTATCTCGCCAGCCTACATTTCCCGGGGCCCACGCATGACAGCTCCGTTAATGGTTTCACAAATGTGCAGCACCATATCTTCAGGATTAAGGGTACATCTCATAGGGTTTGTAATTGATGGCAATATCAAAGAAACGCAAGATACTTTAGATGTTAAACAGTGGGCATTCAATAGGGAGATACGATCTGTCTTGTGTTGTCCCCAAGTGACAAGGTCATATATTTCTTTCTTGTCTTGTTTTCTTTTCTCTTGTCTTGTCTTCTCTTCTTGTCTCTTCTCTTCTCTTCTCACAGCCAACATGTCACCCTTTTCAGTGATTTACTGACTCCTCACACATTTGCTCAGTGACATTAATTTTGAAAAGTGACAAGCAAACAAATCAAACTTTTTATCTGGGGTATCAAAGAAAATCTCATTGAATGTGTGCAGACTTGATTAATATGTATATTAACATATGATGGCCTCAAAGCATCTCCTTGAAAAACTAAATAGAGCTTTGAATAGTAAAACTTCAACATTGCCTCTCTTCTTTGTTTGTAAATGAAATGTAACTGTGGAAGCACACGGGATGATATTTTAGACCCGGGAGGCTGCTCCTTTGAATGATGATGATATTTCAAATTCAGACTTTTTACATGCTAATAATATGGAATAAGGTGTTTATTATTATTCTAACAACTGCATCATTGTGCTTAATCTGGTGGATTAAGGCACTGACTCCAATTCAAAACAGGAAATTGGATTAAATTAAAGACGTTATCCTCTCAGGGAAGGTGACTGTGACAGAGGCCAGGCTGTATTTCTGCAATATGGCCACTGCAGCACCATGATAAAAAACTCTCTTAAATGTGAAATGATACTTACACAGTTGGCAGGAGTATCATGTTGCTAGCCTACTTCTAGTGAGTCCTCACATCATAAGATTAGTGATCTGATTTCATGCTTTTCTCTTCTCCCTGCCACTCCTTATCCTCTCCTTGCTTTCCTTTCCTCCTGCTTTCCTCTATAGCCAGTGCTAACTAATGTACCATCATATAGCTTGTTGAGGCAGAACTTGGGCAGGTGAGAAAACGATTACAGTTATGACTTATATTAACATGCAATGCTCTATAGAATGTGAATTATTTGTTGCCATAATCCCTTAGATGAGGATGCTTCTATGTGCCCTGGGCTCTGACCTGAAAGACTGTAGCATTTGACACGTACAGTATGTGTAGTGTGCCTCATCTCATGACTGTACCAGTGACGGGTGTAACCTCAGTTTGAATGCCATACTCCATAATTCAGCCAGTCATCTAAATTATATACAGATTGTTGTAAGATTTTGACTTCTGCTGAACACTGAAATCCTTTTTGGAGCTGTCATGATGCATCGTTACTCAAAATAGAGATAAGTCACTGTTGGCAAACAATATGATTAAACAAACCTTTTACATCTCCATCTTACATAACCACCGCATCTAGCTGCCATGTTTAGCTTTGTAAAAAGAACTCTGTCAACCATTTTGGGAATGGAAATCTCTGTAATTCGTTAAATCAGTGAATAATACAAGCTGCAGCATTGTAGTGATAACATAATAACACGTTGCTACAGTTCTGTGGTAGTTCTATTCTTCTGGTGAAGCATGGCCTTTGAGCCAGAGACATTTGAGATAAATGTTTAAAGACAAACCTCTCTTAGGTTGAACAAACAGTTTAGCAATAGAAGCAGACATGCGTGCATTGGTGAGGACTAAACTTCACCCTGAATGACAAAACATCTCAAGAGGGGGTGTTTGCTCCAAGGACGGTGGGTGATCAAAGGCCTTCTTTAGCTGACATCGTCAAACCTCCGACTCACTAAAACAGGTCTGTAATAAATCTGCTCGATGCTGCAGGGACTATGCAGAATTGTGTATATTGCTGTTCTTTTTTACTGACTGTTTTTAATCATAACTGCAGTGGTAACTTTTAAGACATTACATTCAGCCATCTCTCAATCCACAAGAGTGAAAGACAGATTTTTCCCTTTTTTAGTTAACGAAGCTTTCCTCAAGCCTGCTGGTAGACACATCCAATATTTGTTATTTATCTGGCGTTAGATTTTCAAACTGGGAAAATGCAAAGCCTTTGTTGACTGTGTCTAGAAAAGAGGAAAACACATTCAGAAATAACTTTTCATTACATGCTTGGTTAGGTTTGCATGAAGAAATACACTGGAGCCATCTGGCATGAAGATCCTGTATGTGTTAAGGAATTGTACTAACGCGGAGCTGGCCCTTTATACATTTGCGACTTCAATCACAAATCATTAGCGCTTTCCCAGCGGCTCAGGGGTGCATGAGTGGCAGGTTAAACTAATCCATCCGGGGCTTTTATGAGCAGTACATTAGGCAGGCCAGAGAATATTCTCAGACAACACGCTCCGTCTCCTCTCTGACCACCAGCTCTCTCCCCGTGGTGGAAAGTGAGGGATCTGAGAGGAGACTGAACAGATATAAAAACTAATTTGTTCCTGTGCCCAATACGATTTGTAATGCCAGGAAGTAATACATGTGGGTACTGACCACTTGCAGTGCGACGCCTCTCTACTATGCAAAAGCTTTTAAAGATGTTCACTAGTATTTGAGTGATGTCCTAAATTAAGCAACTATATTATACTTTATTTGGGGGTTTTGGGGGGGCTTTTTTTTTTCTATATTATTGTAATATTATACAAGTGTTTATTCTTAAAAATCTAAAACTATTTTCACTGTACTTTGCTTTGTTTGTACCACCACATGATGAGCCTGTAAAAATCGTTAACTACTAAACAACAAACATAGAAAGACCAGGACTCAGTGAGGAGCAACAATACTACTAAATACAGTTTCAGAACGTGTGTGTGTGTGTGTGTGTGTGTGTGTGTGTGTGTGTGTGTGTGTGTGTGTTTGGTGGGGTGTATGGTGGGTGGGTGGGGGCTTGTAAAAGAGAAGGAGAAACAAATCTAGCTGTCTTTCACTGTTGGCTTGGTCAGAATCAAAACAACCTACAAATCAATGTTCGAAAAACAAAAAAATAAAAAAAAAACATACGAGAAACAGCCAAGCAGAGGGAGAAAAGAGGGAGCACAAGAGACAGACAGAGAGCTTATTAGTCGCTGTCAAAAATATAACTTACCGCAGGAACTCCTAAGAAACTTGGAGGAATACAAAATGTAAAAGTAGAAAACCCAACCCCGGCTTTCATTCACTGAGGACATTTCCTATTCCAACCCAGCAGTCCATCAGGGAGCATCTGAATAGATATTACTGGAAATATTATACTGACATGAGCGAGTAATTCTTAAACAATCCCATTAACATACGGTATGGGAGGAAATCCTATCATCTCTAGCAGGACCGCTAAATCTGCATGTGCCAAGATAAAACCTGAGACCAATCCTTTTTTTTTTTTAACATTGTTTGACTTACTTTGTGTGTCTGCCCTGCATACGTGTGTGTTTGTCCACCTGTGTGACTACATTGTGCAGGGAACTGCTATGTTGCATCTCCAGAATTGCCGTCATTTCCCCTCTTGAGTTTTTTCATCATGGGGGGAAATAGTGGGCATTTAGCCATCACTTTGCCTGCACTGTGTGTCTCAACCTATTAACTAGCAGCTTAGATATAACACAGCGCACCTCAATTACTAGGTGCGACAACCCATTGCCTGACAACATAACATATTAGACAGCTTAGCTCACTTATACGTGTCTGAATTTATTGCCAGTCTCTTACGATATAGAGGATCATTTGGTATCTGCTTGGCTTGTTAGGTGTTTATTTGCTTCTAGAGGTAGCATTTAGCTAATGAAGAAAGAGAGAGTCTGAGCTAGGAGACAAGCGAGGGATTCGTTCTGTCTTTATCCAGCTCAGTGTCTTTACGTTCATTACTGATCGACACACTATAAATAAAAGGGCTAATGATGGGAGGATATCGACACAATCTGTAGGCGTGAAGTGTCATTATTTTACTTTTGTTTATTTGCATTGAGTCAGGTAGTATTATGTTATAAATGATTTGTTCTCAATACTTTTTTAGAAGATACTAACTTTGATCTGGGATTAGACTCCTTATTTAATTTGAGGTTTGAGTCAAGAGTGCTTCAGTTTAACCCGTTTTAGATTATGGGATACTGAGAGCAAAGTGTTGTGGTACATTTCCCTCATAAAGATACATTCAGTTAAGTTAGGCGTACTTAAGATAGCTACAGTAGTGGTGTCAGGATCATGTTTTTTTGAAGAGAAAACATGTCACTGATGGAATGTTACAACAAAAAATGTACAATTGTGCTGTGGTGTTAAAGAGTGGTGGTCATTGCTCCAAAAAGATATTTGGCTGAGTGCATCCACCGGCTGCAGGCTGACACTTTGGCCTGACATCAAGTATACTTATTAAGGTTAATTGGTGACAGCTGGTATGACCTGCCACACAACATTTGTCTTCTTAACTGTTCAAAACGCCAGCCAGCACCAGCCATTGGAAGAAAGAGATAGTCTGAGTTTTGTACATTTGCAGATTTTCACATTCACACATTCTAACTGTCGCTCCCATATGCAGTGATAATCTGTACTGTCGGCTTAGAGGAGAGCAGAGCTGCAACACTGCTGTGTTTTATCTCGGCCTGAGAGAGTAGAGAGAATAACTGA